AAAAATGGTAGGACGCCACTAAAAGGGGTGGGAAATTATCAGTATAGATTACAATTATAACCGTGACAAATTAATTATATGGTAATAACACCATCGGAACAAAACGTGACCACGCCATTGGTTTAGAACTTAAGCTGGTGGTATCCATCAGCGACTTTGGAGCTGAGAAAATACGCGAGCACGTGGTACATGATGGGCTGTGTTCATCAGACATCGACTTCCGGCTGTTTTTTTAAGACTTTTATGCACCTTTTGTAGTCTCGTGTTTGAAAAATAAAAAAAGAGCGATGCACATAAAATGAAAGTTGAGATGCATATCTAACAAACTTCACATTTTGGGTCAGTTTAGACTTTTTGTTTGTAAGGCCAGTTTAACTTCAACAATTGTTGCTGGTGCTCTGGTTCTGAGAGCAGAAACCATTTCTTTTTCGAGTGTCACTATTTAAGGGATGTTTAGGTCATGGTTATGGATTGGCTACAATTCAGATGGAGGTCTTGCATTTGGAGTCAGATTATAAACTGGTATTGCTTTAGATTGAGGGGGAATTGTTTCAAGAAAAAAATAAGAAAATGGCTCTCACCTCAACAATTTATAGTATTTTGTGTGAAAGGAACTCCAGAATTTTTAAACAAGAAGGGGAAACTGCTGATCAACTGTTCAAAGAGATAAAGTTCATCATTCTAACTAATATTCTCAGTGGCTCCTTCTCAACGGAAGACAAAGAATGGATTAGTACTTTGTAATTTCTTAAGGATGTGAGTAGTTGTTAGTTATCTTGTAATCTCAATCTACTAAGAAGTTTGATGTGCTGAACTTTCAATATTCGGAAGATGAACGAAATTTTCATTGACCAAAAAAAAAAAAAAACTTCAACAATATTGTTTGGCGTAATCCACTCTGCAACAATAAGTAATAATAAGTTTAAGTAGAAACTTATCATGACTAAAGTCGGTTTAACGCACAGAGGAGTACTCTGATTACTCCAAAAGATTAGCTGTTAAAATTAACTTTTAACTATTTGTTTTAGATCTTTCATTCTTTCTGTTTTTTTTTTTTTTTTAAATGAAGTAAGAGACACCTACACGTGAATCTCAACAGCCTTTCTCTTTTAAACCGGCGAAAACATCCAATCCGAATCTAAGACTTAATAGGAACATCAAGTTAAAATTTCCAATCTCTCCACTATTGATGACCTTTAAAAAAAATTTATTCACTCTTTTGGCCCTAACTGCTCTAGCTGACAATTTCTCAATCAAAGATATCGTCATTTGCAAGAACAAACATTAATTAGGTTCGAGTCAGCATCGAAATTTTCCATGCATGCACTCGGCAATTGCTAGCTGCGTCTACGCTAACTAGTTGACATATACGGATTTTATTATTTTATTGTTGAAGCTTCACCAAACAAATTGAATAAAAAACAAAACGTTGTATCATGATGAGATTTTGTTATGGGTTGTGATATGACTCGTTAAATAGTCATCCATTGTTATATAGACATCTGTTATATATTTATTCCGTTTGGATTTTAGATGTGATAGATGATAATTTTATTTCTAAATCAAACTAAATTGGCCAGCGTGAGTAATTATCACACTGTTTATACGCCGACGCAAAGTTGCAGTTTTGAAAAAAAAAAATTGGGAAATCAAAGAATAGGAAATCTATTTCCTATAATAACTGTTTTGAGAATGTTTGGTTGGCTTAAAAAAGAAGAAAATTATAGTGATATGCTTTAGATGATCCGCTCCGTTGAACTTGATCTACATATTCTAAAACCCCAACACATCAAGTTTGGGGTGAATCCATCGTCGTTTGACCCTCCATCGACCCATGTGAAAAGTTCTATTCATTCAAAACCGTTAAAATTGATACGAGTGGATGAAAGGTCAAACGACACGGCTTTCACCCCAAACTGGTGTGTAGAGTTTTAGAAATAATGTAGATCAAGTTCAATGTGATCAGGATCTCTCCATAAGTGCGCTCAACATCATGTGATTTTAGAGGCGTCATAACGAGAGGAAATCCCCCTCATGACAGAGAACCCCATTAATCTCATATATATATATATTAGTAGTAGTAATAATATATTATATATATATATATATAATATATATATAGTATACGTACTATATATAATAATATAGTAATATATATTATATATATATATATATATAGTATATATATACTATATAATAATAAATAGTATATATATATATAATATCGGTCATCTAAGTGATATGCTTTACTTTAAAACGCTCTTATCCTCTAATCAGCAAAGAAAAAAATATTTCTCCATCTATAGGTAACTACATTTTTTACGCATCAAAAAATATTTCTCCATCTATAGGTAACTACATTTTTTACGCATCAAAAGAAGAACTTAAATAGAAATTTCTTGTCTACATAGACAAAGAGATGCTTGAAAGTATTGATGAGCTACTATTTTCCTTATATTAGAAAAAGTTTGAACGGTCAATGAAGATTACTTTGTTTCATCCAATAAAGTGTTTTATTCCACATTAAAGATAAAGTTGATGTAGTCGGATTCATCTAACTTTGGTTACATCTCATCGTGTAAATGGAATTTCTCTATTCTAAGATGCTCCTCTAATTTTTCCAGGGACCACATAAGTAAGAAGAACGAAGTTGGAATAAGTCAATGATTCAATTACGCCCTGGACTTTTAGATTTCGAATTTTGATTGTTTTTCGTATTGTTTTAGGTAAAATTAAAGAAAACTTTTTGCGCTTGATCCGCTTATCTCGTTAAGTCCTTCGACTTAAATACATACGAATTTTGTGATTTTTTGTATTACTTTATGACCGTTGTGATGTTGGCTAGCTCTTCTCTCATCCAAAATCAAAAGTGATTATGATTTTTTTTTTACTTGATGATTGAAGATACTAAAACCCCAAAAACTTCCATCGTTTCGCACTTAAACCCCAAGAACATTCATAATCGCACTAAATCCTCAATAACTTTTTGGAATTTAAGAAAACCCCCAATAAGTTTCTACATTGTGCAGATAACCCCATAACTTAGTACCAAAAAATAATATAAAATTGCATTTTGAAAGTAATTGGGGATTAGTGTAGTTTACCCAAAAGATATTAAGGATTTTTTGCAAAAATTATTGGTGGTTTTGGTGCATTTTTGAAAGTCATTGGGGTTTCTTAAAACGCGGACAGTTTTTAGGGGTTTAGTGTAATTTATCTAAAAATTTACATCAAGTTGTAAAAGTTTGACAATTCCAAGAAAAAAAAAACATGTATGTAAGAAAATGTTGGAAGCAAAAAAATTTGCACCCCTGTCTAAAACTTCGCTTTCTCCTCTTCTCAATCATTGGAAAAGCTCTAGATATTTGTACAAAGGTTTGAACAGGAGAAATGTTTGAATGAGAGACAAGTCTTAACTAAAATCTACAGCTATTGATGAGTAATATGAGGAAGAAACTCCCAACCACAACTCTATGACAAAATTAAATTTGTTCTTATCCAAAAAAAAAAGAAATTACTTTAAATAACAAAACTTATTTAACTGTCTTCCACATAAAACACCTTTGCTTTACTTTAAATAGTTAAATTGCATCTCTAGATGGTGTTGTCCATAAACATGCACAAGTGTTAACACCATCGGATAGAAGTATAGAAGTATAGAACCAATTATTTGCATGGAAGTGTATACAAAATTATGAATTAGTTGTGTTGATGTATGAAATCAAACAGTCAAATGTGAAGAGTAATTAAGTTGATGAAGATCCTCGTACTCTTTGAATGTCTGGTTCTTGAGTAACTGTTCTTCCCTGCACAAGTAGCAAATCATAAGAGGGCGGGGTTGGGTTCCCCGATTGTTCCTCCGATGACCAAGTCGGTTGTTTGCTTGAGTGGAGACGTAAGAATGAATTGTATAGTAGTTCTTAAGCACAGTCAGTAGTGAGAAAGATCTTATCCTGTAATTGAAAATAGCATCTCTATTTATAGTAGCGGTAGGAGGGTAGAATGGTAACTTCGGTCGAGTATGGGATGGCGGCCACGTTAGTCTCAGTTTTACAGGTGTTGGCCGACGAGTGGAGAACATGTCACTTTGGTATTTAATGCGAAGTAATTGGGGTGTGTGATTGCAACGTGGTCCGATGTGTCATAAAGACTATTGGGAGCAGAGGAATGATTGTGCCCATAATGTATTTACTGATATTTATTGCGTGGTGATTGGTCACTAGTGCACGGAAAGGGGGCTCGAGGCATTTTGTTGCCTTTCGACTCGTCCGATGGTCGAAAAGTACCGTCTTTTGAGTCATCTTGGCAAGGTGCCGGCCGATTAGTCTGCCGAGTGGAGTGATTAAACGGTCAACTTAGCCAGGCGACGACACGTTACGTCTTTCGGGTCGTCAACATGTGACCCCTTTCGAGCCATCCTCGCAAGATGTCGGTTTGTCGAGTCGATTTAACTGGGCCTCTGATTATCATGAAATGCTGACTTGATTATGCATAATGTGGGACACTCGTCCGCCGTTGATTGGAGATTCTATTTCATCACTAAAAAGGCTATTACAACTTGGTTTTTTCAGAATGGTTTGCAGGCATATGCTATATATACAGTAAACAACTAGTAAGTAGCTAGTAAGGACTAAACGGATGGAAAAAAAAAAAGCTGATATCCTTAAATTAAAATATACAAAAGTGAGCACATAAACCATGCTATAACAACTGAAGGTAAATTTTAGTTAATTAGCTTAATTAACCATGACATGATGGATAGAATTAGACTAGCGGTTAATATTGAAAGAGCACCATCTATGAAAGCAACCTTTAGAAACACCCAAAAAAATTTGTCAAACTATTGCTTTTCAAGACAAAATTAACTTGTGACTGGAAAAGAAACAATACGTTCCCTTTATATATATACATCACATTTTTAACGAAACGTCCCTAATTAATAACAATTTGCCGATACATCTACAGATAGATGGGTTGAAATTTATGCTCTACGTTCACATGCATAATTTTAACCACACTCTCAAAACTATTCAACCCTCAAAAATAAATAAAAGCCTCACGCTTCCTCTATATATGTAAAGCTCAGACCCAGGGCCAAGCGATATACCAAGACATGGCTCCTCCTCCCTCCTCCTCCGTTTGCATTGTCGTGTGTCTGGCCTCTGCCATCGCTTTGCTTTCCTCCATCAACCACGCACGAGCTCAGACCGCTCCCCCCATTGCTCCGGGGCTCTCCTACACGTTTTACAGCTCCAAGTGCCCAAATCTTGAGACTATTGTGAGGAACCATCTCCAACAAACATTTAACAGCGACGTCGGCCTTGCTGCCGGCCTCCTCAGGCTCCACTTCCATGATTGCTTCGTTCAGGTATATATATGCACTTTGAAATAAATTTTTTTTTTCTTGGGTATATAAAACTTTTCGGTTCCGTCTGGCAAAGGGTGATGCGAGACGTTAAGGAGACGTAACCCATTCTTAACCCGTCAATTAACACAAAAAAATATATCTATACAATGGTTAAAGTGAGTTAACTCTCACAAAATATATAAAAATATTAAGCTAACCCCTCTAGAAGTATTAAAATGAGTTAACGTTCGCTGGTACTCCTATTTAAAAGGATTAAGAGCTAAACCCTCTAATTATAAAGAAAATAGTCAAAATACTTGTTATTCCTAAACACTGAAATTGATCACAATGGTTAAAATAAAACTTATATAACATGTTAATAAGTTAGTCATTCGGATTATCGAATGGGCTAGCTATGTTAATTAGAAACTTATAAAGTTGATTGGTGACTGACCGGTAGTGGTGTTCATTAAAATAATATACGAACGAGTTTTATGATATTTACTTGTGCTAGTAAAAGTCGGTCGGCTCAACGAATAATAGTGCTTTTTTTTTAAGGATTCGGATCATGTCTGATGCCCTAAAATATAGTGGAGTTAGACCATACGTCAAGATTTTTATGAAGTGTAAATTTACTACGCATCTCGTGGTATCTACACTCATTTTCCTCGCAAAACGGATGGTTCTTTATCTGCTAAATAATAGACGATTATGATTGAGAAAGTGGTGGTCGCTCGTTATATTAATTTACTAGAACGAGCTGAATTTACGTGATATATATATCCATACTAATGATTTTCTTGTGATGCATACTACAGGGGTGCGACGCATCCGTTCTGCTGGACGGGTCGGCCAGCGGGCCCGGCGAGCAGTCGGCCCCGCCGAATCTGACGCTGCGAAAGGCGGCGTTCAAAGCCATAAACGACCTCCGAGCTCTCATCGACCAATCTTGCGGCCAAGTTGTTTCTTGCGCCGATGTCGTTGCCTTGGCTGCTCGCGATTCCGTTGCACTGGTACGTAGATTTATCGTCACCGACTTTTTTATTATTTTTTTTTTATAAATTACCCGAGGATTTTTTTCCCCCTTTTCTTTTACTAATTATCGATCCCTCTATTTCTTGATATCTTTACTTATATATAAAGGGTATAGTGGGGGTAGACAAAATTCGGATGGCCGGTGGGCATTTCCTGTAATAATTTCTATTGTGCCTGGGAGGGTAAAATTATAATTTTATATGAGATGTTTTATTTCTTTATTTTCTCTAAAACTTTTTAAAACATAAGCATATCAATAGAGCTCGTTAATTAATTATTTATTAAATTTTATGTATTTCAAGAGTTGTAAATGTAAAATGACAAGAGTATTCCCCAAAAAAAAGGATATAAATAAATACAATAAAAATAACGTATAGAATTTCAATATTTTCTAATGTGTAATTTTGAAAGTATATATCTAAATACTTATGTTAAATATAATTAGATGCAATAATACGAAGATAAAACATGACCAAGACTTTTTTTATGACATTATAAAGGAAAATTATTGCCATCACTCGTAGTTAATTTTTGCATAAGGTAAGATATATTGTTGCGTATCAAATAAGCAAGTATCATAAAAAGATCTTACAAAATTTACCGAACCTTTAAGTATTAAAGTGGTTTTTTAATATAAAAATTAGGGTAAGTAATATGATGTTTACCACTTTACCCCCTAAATTTATACATTTGCCAATGTAACCACCAAATCTATTATATTTGCAGATTTACCCTTTAAGTCTATATATTTGTTAATTTATCTTTTTCAACATTTTTTTCATCTTTATATCGACCATGAAAGCTCAAGAATCATCTTTTTCTGGAGAATAGTACACTTTACAGCAATACATTGAAACTTCTTTTGCTAAAGTCATTTTCATGTCGGGTCACATTTATTTGATACAATGCTTCCCTCTTCTTCACGTACTTTTAATTAGTAAGGGTCCGGCCGGATTCTCTTTAATGTTGATTTCTTGTGGACAATGCGTACAATCGTCGGTTAGGTTTTGGGATAATATTATTGACTTGATAATTAATATCATTTATGGGGTTTATAACTTAGTTCTTTCACTTGATAGCTCAAAAACATCGCATTTATCACCATAAAGATAGGCCATAACAATAACAATAGATATGTTAAACGACAACAATAAATATGTTCAAAACATCTCATTTCGTGCTTCATGTTCCTCTCTTAACTTTTCTTTTTGCATAGAGTAAGACAACTTAGGCATATATTGTTAAGACATCCTAGTTACACTATGGAAAATTAATGATGTTACCTATTCCCTTTTAAACATACATTAGTCATGTTGAGCTGATTAACATGTGAGTATAAAAGTCCTACATCGGATAAGATAAGAAAGAGTGAATATGCGTTTGGGTCAATACCTGATTAGCTATAGCTTTTTTGGTTAAAATTGATTCCTAACTTCTGTTTAAAGCCCATCAACTCTAGATTGGGCCCGATTTCTAGTCTCCCCCAACATGTGGTATCAGAGCTAAGCTCATGGTCCAAGTAATTAAAAAAAAAAAACAGATGATCTTCTATGTGAAGCCCGAAGGTGTCGGGAGAATCCACGGACTCCTCCCGTAGGAATTTGTATTTATCAAAATAGCACTCGTGTATTCATAACGAATACGTTTTCCTTCCAGTCCGGCATCGGCATCGCCCACTGCACCTCCTTCACCAACCGCCTCTACCCGACCCAGGACCCCAACATGAACCAGTCCTTCGGGAAAAACCTGAAGCTCACGTGCCCGGCGTCCAACACGACCAACACGACGGTCAACGACATCCGAACCCCGAACGCCTTCGACAACAGGTACTACGTCGACCTGATGAACCGGGAGGGCTTGTTCACCTCGGACCAGGATCTGTACTCGGACTCGAGGACCAAGCCCACCGTGACCAGCTTCGCGCTGAACCAGAGCTTGTTTTTCGAGAGGTTCGCTTATTCCATGGTGAAGATGGGGCAGCTGAGCGTGTTGACGGGGAGCCAAGGGGAGATCAGGGCCAATTGCTCCGCTAGAAACGGTGGCAACGGTTTCTTGTGGTCTGTGATCGAAGGAATTGAGGAGAGCGTTAACGCGTTTTAATTAAGGCTAATTAATTAATTAGTAGCTACAGTTGAGAAAATAAAATAAGCAATTTGATGGGTTTGCATGATGTTTTGATGTATAAGCTTGAGTTGATACAGATGCGTGTAACGAAATTGATGTCCTTAAGAATCTTATTATATATGTATGCGTATATATTTTCCCGATTTAAATTGCTTTATTTAGATAAAATCCCTTATGGATCAAGCTAGCGTTTCCTTGATCTTACTAATATTTCGTTGTCTGATGGAATAAAAGTTCCCTCTTGTTACCAATTATAGAAGCTTTTAAAACTCGATATATATCTACTCCTCTGTACAAATGGGAGAACCTAGGATTTACTATTCACGCTACATTTAATGCTACAGTAGCATTATTACTGTAGTAAACATGAAACTAGGTGTTGCGGTTTTTTGAAAAAATATTATTGTATCATACAGGAATACTGTAGTAAAAGCGGTATACTGTAGCAATTCAAAAAATTATTGTATCAGCAAAAAACTGGGATTACTGTAACGAGAAAAAAAATATAAAACACGGTGTTCACACTAGTTGTAATTATAAGCGAGAGAAAATAAAAATCACATATGAATAGCTCATAAAGTTCTCGGTCATTATTTTAACATGATGCGCCTAGACGAAATTGGGCATAAAAGAAACATGAGAAACCCAGATTTGAGTAAAAGCCTATCTTTGATTGAATTTTGAGGAACATTTTACCTGTGATGTTTTTTCTAATTTTTGAGTTGTTAAGATCGATATTTGAGGAAACAAAACAATCCTTAATCATGTTCACTAATCGCTCATCATTTTACCCATCTAATATAGAGAGAAAGTGTGTGAATATCAATATTTGTTTTTGGTCTGTTTCTGTTCTTTTGTGTTTGAGACAGAGTGTTGTTGATGACTTGGCTGGTTAGGTTACCTGCCTTTTCAAAAAAAAAAATTCAGGCGAGCATGAAATTTGTACAGTACAATTGGGCCAAAAGTTTCGCCTCTTGTGTTAGAGCTCTCAGCATTTAGGATTACTTGATGGACCGCCAAATGGGCCTGACTATCAGCCCCGCACAAGCCACCGAGAATTGAGTCCAGATTGTAATTTAGTTTACTTTTATCTTTTTCACACATTTAATTGTCATTTTTTAAATAAAACATTGCGAATACTTCATGTCATATATTAATATACGTCAAATCTCTTTAAATTAAAGTACGGACACTCCTAACAAAAATACTTAATTTATTGAGAAAAGTAAAGAATAATACCGCTTACTACATAAGTGAAGATAAAAAAAAGCTTTCTATGTGATGAAAAAACGATCCACGGCCATTTATCATGGTGATCTTAGCAGCCATATTTGAGGGTTAAGTATATTTTGAGAATTAAACTAAGAGTTTTGCTTCGGTGCTCCTATAACATTTGTATTTAATTTTTTATTTAAAATGGTAAAAATGTATTTGTAACACTTTGGAAATCATCACACCTAACAGAACTCATTTCCCGCAAAACCAATCCACTCATTTCATCTGCATCCCTTTTCCTTCCCGAATCAAATCCATACAAATAATTTCTCCTCTTCTAATTTTTTACTTTTTTTTATTTCAATCAAGCAATGATTTGGCTACTTAGATTGATGGCTAAACAATAGTCAAGTCACACGAAGCAGTGATTTCATAGAGGAAGAACTTAGAATGAACGAAATCAAAAATAACAAAAATTCATATCAAAATCAACCAGCCTTTCCAATTAATCAATGAGTAGGAAGATCCACGTACTCTCAAAAAATCAATTGATTTTATGAAGGAAAAATTAAAAAGAAAAGAAAGTGATTATATCTTTGATTTAAAGGCAAAGATGATTTAAAAACAGAAAAAACAAATTATTAGACTATTGACATAGTGGTGAAAATAACGAGTAATTAAAGGTCAGCTAAATTGACAATGTCACTAAGGAGGAATTAAAGAGAAAAGGGGGTACTATTCTTACTGGCCATGATTTTTTTAGGCTTAAATGTTAGGCATCAATTTTCAAGATATTTACAAAAGTGATAGTAGAAAGAGTAATATTTTTCATTCGACATTAGAATGATTGTGAGAGCGAAATGATTCGGAATTATTTACATTGATGCCTAATCATAAATTCTGTTTCTCTCCTAAATTGTATTTCCTAAAATAACCTTTTTACCTAATTCAAATTATAGTTAATTACAATTTTGGATGTGGAATACCTCCTAACCGTCAAATCTATCTATCTAGAAATGTGAGAGCTATTTTTAAGGAATTTATTTACAGATATGTCATCGGTGCCCCCAACAAATTATCATAGAAATGTGAGAGCTATTTTTAAGGAATTTATTTACAGATATGTCATCGGTGCCCCCAACAAATTATCATGGAGCACCGAAGCTGTAGGCTTAAACATTTATTTACAGATATGTCATCGGTGCCCCCAACAAATTATCATGGAGCACCGAAGCTGTAGGCTTAAACTAATTCAAAATTTTAGACAGTTATTTATTAGCTCCAATTTTCTTATTAAAATAATAATGTTTTTCCCAAAAATTATTAAGGAGTTTTTTATATATTTCAAAAAACATTTGACAATATTTTTATGGAATTTTATTAAATAATATTGCAAGTACTGGCTACAAAAATATGGGAAAACGTAGAAAGAACTATTATTAAAATAGGAGAAACTTTAGAGCGTTTAAGCGCAAATAACTATTTTTCAATCGTGTGGCTCGAATTATTTGTTTCTGTTGTCTTTTTCTTCTTTTCTTTTTACCCCTCACATATATATACGCTTTTGGGAAGAAGCATGTTAATAAAATACTCTCATTTGAGACCAACAGAAAGTAATTATTTATTTGGGAAGAAGCATATTAAGTTGGCCTAATATACCCTATTGGCGCCTAATTAAAGTGGTTTCTCAATGGAACAAGCATTATTTACTCCACAATCCTTTTGTCTCTAACTCATTATCAATTTAAATCTATTCTTCTATGATAATGGGAAGATCTAAAATTCACTATTCACAATACAGTAAATTCTACAGTAATTATTACTGTAGTATTACTACTATAACTCAGGTAAAGCATTTTTAAAAATGTTACTGTAGCATATAAAAAATATATTTAAATACAGAATTACTGTAGCAGAAATTAAAAAATGGAGGCCGTGCTTTGCATGGGGTGCACGCTAGTACTATATAACACTCTAATCCGGACTCACAAAAGCCATCTATAGTACAACTCCTAAATCTTTGCAAGAATACGCACGTGGTCTTTTCCTTCTAAATAAAGATTAGTCTACCATTAGTCAAAGATTTAATCAAACCCCAACAACCACAGGACGACCAAGGTAAGGTAGTATGAAGCACTCAGGGATAATTAAAAAAAAAAGTCGTATAGTTAATGGGGGTTTTCAACCTATAAACCCTAAAGTCTTGCTCTCATTTTGTTTTTAAGCGTACACACTTCTAAAATCACTCTTTTCAAAATGACTTTTTACACTCATAGTACCCGAGGGGGTTATTCGTAAACTCGCTTTGCATGGTCAAACAGTTTGGTATGAGTCACTATATTTCCGCCAAATTTTGCTTTGTTTTGTCGGGTTCCTACTTTTACCATAAAAGTTGCTATAATCTATTGTAAGTTGTCATATTTTTTTCGTAAGTTGTTATATTCTATTGTAATTTGTTAAATACCAAAATTATCGTCTACCAAACTGTTGAAAGTACACGTACGAGCTCCAAAATAATTCACTATAAACATCTTGTGGGGAGTGACTTTGGAAGTTTTATGGGTCTGAGAACAAATGTGTATAAAACTTCGGGTTAAGCGGTACAAAACCCTTGATTAATTTCAAAAGAAAAATTCCCCAAGGACCAAAAATATGGGACCAATGGGGACATGTGAGGTGTCCCCCTCCTATTGCATAATGAGTTGGTCATCATTAATGATGAAGACAAATTTTAAAAACAGACCACTTTGCAAAAATATTCTAAAAAAAAGACCCGTTTTCACTTTATTTTCAAAAAACGACCTAGTTTTAGCCTCTGGGTTGAAACTGGGTCAGTTTTTGGGAAAAAAGTTCTCAAACTTCACGGGAGTTGAACTCCCGTGAAGTTTTGTTATGTAAAAAACTTCACGGGAGTTCAACTCCCGTGAAGTTTGGGATTTTTTTCGCAAAAAACGACCAAGTTTCAGCCACGGGTCTGAAACTAGGTTGTTTTTTGCGAATATTTTCAAAACGGGTCTTTTTTTGAGAATATTTTTGCAAAGGGGTCTGTTTTTAAAATTTACCATTAATGATGACCAGCTCATTATATCACATATTTCAAAACTCATTTCAAAAACAACCTTCGAACAAATGCTACAGTAAAGAAGAAGGAGACGGTGGACCCACAAGCAAGAAATAGGTGCAATTTAGGGTGCAACGGAATACAGGTTATTTTAGGACGTCGCAGACTCTTCACTCGCTCTGCCAGCCAATATTCTGAAAAGAGACCCCGTTCTTTTGGGTTATTTGTATATGGACCCCTCGCACTTGGGTATTTGCAAGACTGACCTTCATATATTAGTGTTGGCAAAACTGCCCCTCACATCATCCATTTTGAAATAAATGCCCCTAAAATCAAGAAACCATCAACTTAGTCAATAAAAATTAGACCATATTGTTGATGTTTTCACATTTAAGATACAAATTATCCTATTAAAGTTGGTGATTGCTTAGTTACGGGACAAATCTTTTGAAAATTGATTACTAAAGGTGTAATTTGTAAATACTAAGATGTGGGGGCTATGTTTGCAAAACCTTAATTATTGTTCTAACTGCTCTCTTGGGATTGAAATTTCGAAAACCCCCCAGAGCATAAAGTTAGTAATAAGACGAGAACAGAAAACAAAACCCTAATTTTTTTTCCCCCTTTTGCTCTTTCAAAATTGAGAGCATCACCAAAACCCAAGGACGAAGTAAGATGCACGAGTTCCAAATCTTCGATTCTCTTCCGGCGTAGTTCAGCTTCTGGTTCGGTTTCTCAATGGCGAAGCGAGTTTATGAGGTTTGGAAAGGGAGCAATGTAAGCTTCTGAGGCTTTATTCTACCATTTTTTGGGGTTTTAGTGCAATTTAGCATCTGGGTATGTGTTAATTGTTTAGGATTTGAGCTGGGTAGCGTTTAATTTGATGTTTTTTTTTTGGATTTTAGCATCTGGGTATGTTCGCTCTATGAATATTTGATGGAATTTAGTGTTTGATGCGATTGAGGAGTTGTGGATTCATGGTAGTTTAGTGCTATGTGTTTTCTTTGGTTTGATTGTGTGAAGTTCAATTCTATGATAGAAGAGATTGTGAGCGGAATGAGATATTTGGCAAGTACACAAACTTTGGTTACTAGATGTTAAGTTATGCATTCATTTTAATGAAATAGGAATTCTTAGATGTTATAGTCCATTCAAATGCTGAACACGTACTTTGGTAGTCACTTAGTGTTTTTAAGAGAAAGGATGGGGTCTCAAACTCAAAAACCTGAGCCTGTTTATTTATTCATCAAACAGTTGGTAGTTACTTAGTTGTATCGGTAAGGAAAATGAGTGGCAGATTAGAGATGGATGTAGCTGAAAACGTAAGGGTTGTATGTTAAGAGTGAATCTGTCTGCGTTTGGGATTATGATTCCTTATGCCCGTCACTATCTTGCAGGCTTGTTTATTGATTTGAGTTGCATATTTTGGAAATTGGTTCCAAGAGCATTTAGTATATACCATATACTTATACCTCAAAACTAATAGCGTGTAAGTTGTAAGTCATAATTTTAGCTCATGCTGAATTTTATTAAAATGTATTTTTTCCTTTCTCTTTAATGCTTATGTATTGTGTCACACACGTGGCTGCGTGTATGTGTGTATGGACTGTAGAGTGAGAGAGCTAACTCTTTCTTCTCGTTGCAGGTATTTTTCTTTAGCGGGAGGTTGATATTTGGACCTGATGCTCAGTCGTTGCTCATCACAATTTCACTCATAGTGGTTCCCATTGTAATTTTTTGTATATTTGTTGCAAGACATCTTCTTCATAAATTTCCTGCGTATGATGCTGGATATGCAGTAATGGTGGTTGCCATAGCATTTACTATCTATGTTAGTCTTCTAAACTTCTTATGCTTTTTGTAGAGAACTAATGAATCTTTTTAGATTGGACAGAATTCTAATAGGTATTATATGCTAGTGTTGATATTCAAATTTGATCTAAATTGTTTTTTAGATTGCAGTCTTAGGTGATTATCTAAGTGCATTAGCATGTATTGCTTATGCATTTCTATCCTTAAGTTCTTAATACTATTTATTATATAATTAACCTCGGTATCTGTCCTGAACAAGATGTTGGATAACACACTCTCTATTGTTACATACTTTCCTGGAAATCAGCTTGCACTTTATTCTTGTCCTTCCATTCTGATCTACACTTATTGAACAAGGATTATCCAATAACATCCAAAGTTGGTAACAATTTACGAGTTGGTTAGTAGCTGATAGACTATGTTGCATTGAAACAGTTACGGGTACAAGTGCAGGTGCATGTAGCCATGTACTGGACACGGGAAATTTGTAAAAGGTAGCATATGGGGACACAGACCCAAACGATGCTTTAGAATTATAATTTCAAACCACATATAGTCGAGACGAACCCAGCTCATGTCCACAAGTTTTGCAAAGTGAATACGAAGCATAGGATATATGTCCAAGAGGAGTATAATGAGTGTTTTAAATTAAAACATAAACTATATAATAGAGCGCATGTGTAAATAATGTATGCATATACTCGAGGAGTCTGGTATGTGTTGGTGTTTGGTACGCGTCGGGTATGGGTATGGCTTCACAATAGAAGCACCTAGGTAACATAGTTGATAGACCTTGGGAGCAAGTAAGCTTACAAGCCTAGCTTTTTATCCCACAAGAAAGACTGCACTTTCATGCTGCTACAGATTTAACTTGTAACTCTGGCGTATGCTACGTAATTGGAGTTTCAGTATATAATTGTGCTTTAGTCCTTGATTTGCAATTGAATGCCATTACTATAGTCAGTATTGGAAAATCTGTTGCTGGTAATAAATCATATAGATGAAAAGGTAGGGGTAATCGTTGTTGTTTTAATTGCCACTGAAGGCATCAAACCTTAAGAAGATACTGGTAACTATTGTCCTATCTATAAAATGAGGATACTCTATCCAAAGTTAAGAGTATTTAGTTTACCATGCTATATGAACAATTGATTTACAATACATCTTATTGATGTTTGGCTGTATTCTGCAGTTAGTTAAAGCTAGGTTCTTATACCTAGTTTAAGAAATTTCTGTTAACAAAATACTTGTTTGCAGTTCTGTTGTAAACTGTTGATATTCTTCCCAGTATCATGTTTTTCTTGTATTATCTTATGCATGCATATAAATATAAACAGTTATTACTTCTGTGGTACTTATGCTATGTAGGTGTTGTTGCTGTTGCTCCTTACTTCAGCTCGAGATCCGGGTATTATTCCACGTGCGTCACATCCTCCTGAGGAAGAGTTCTCTTATGATACTTCAGCTCCAATTGAAAGGGGAAGGCACACGCCGAGCCTGCAATTTCCTCGAACAAAAGAAGTGACGGTTAACGGCATGCCTGTGAAAGTAAAGTACTGTGATACTTGTATGCTTTACCGTCCTCCACGTTGTTCTCATTGTTCAATTTGCAATAATTGTGTGGAGCGCTTTGATCATCACTGCCCCTGGGTCGGGCAGTGTATTGGACAGGTAACCCAACTTGGCCGTGTTTTATATTTAAGTATACAAATCATGGTTTTACTTATTGCTTTCTACTTGAAAATCTGATGTTGTTCCTCATTCTGCTAATTTCTTGCAATCTTGATATATTGCAGCGTGTGCATAATGGGAATAATTTTTTTAATCATCAAGCTTCTTGCATAATAATTTTTCATTTTTATGGAATTCATGTCTTACAAATTCAGGGTAGCTTCAGTTCACCATAAAGAAGGATAATGACACTGTTAAGTTTGTTTGTGCATGTCCAAGGAAGATACTGTTGAATGCATTGATTATTTTAAATCTTTTGTTGTGTTTCTATTCTATTTTCCCCTTTCCTCTTATTTTTCTTGCTTTTCCCTTGTCCTCCCTCTTCTCTGTTTTCTTCAGGCTCTATTTTCCCCTTTCCTCTTATTTTTCTTGCTTTTCCCTTGTCCTCCCTCTTCTCTGTTTTCTTCAGGCACATATGTGTTATGCTGGTGTGAATCATACATTACAGCGAACTGCCTCATTTTCAATACTTTAAAATATGAGATGACTTGCATTAAACTTTTACCTCTATGCTGAAGCTTGTAGTTACATGTTTCAATCTTACAGTTTCTGATACTAAGCCTCTTCTTTTATAGATAAAAAAGTTATCCGAGTTTTATATATATTATCCTTCATAAGTATTCTGATATGTAAATGTGCTTATTGGTTACTTTTGTGCCTCGTCTTCTCGCAGAGAAACTATCGGTACTTTTTCTTCTTCGTGTCATCCTCAACCCTTCTCTGCATATTTGTGTTCTCAATGTGTGCTTTGTACATCAAGTTTCTCATGGATGAAGATTATCCCACGGTTTGGAAGGCACTGAAACATTCCCCTGCATCTGTCATACTCATGATATATTGTTTTGTCTCTCTATGGTTTGTTGGTGGTCTTACAGGGTTTCACTTATATCTCATTGGTACTAATCAGGTCAGTTTCATCACACTGGCTTTGTATTTACTTTACAATTGTTTTGTTCGTTGTGAACTTGTTTTCTTTTCATATGATGCTCCTTCGTTTTGGTTATGTAACTCAAGAGTGTTTTGTATAGTTGAACTACAGAGCTAAATTCTAGACCTTTGTCAGAGTGAATGACTTGAATGGAAAGCAAACACTTATCAGTTATCACCATAATTGCCTGATACTGTAAAACGAACGTCTGTTGTTGGCCATAACAAACACCTATTGATAACTAAAACAAACACCTAGTGTTAGCTAAAACAAACAAATTTGCAAGTTGTAGTTGCAAATTGCAAAATTTTAAAACTGAATCAATCGGCTACACCCTTACAGCTACATGTTACAGCAGTTACAATAACTGTTGGTGCATGATAGTGGTACTTGTGCTGCAAATACATTTACAACAAACGAAACAGCTTCTCAGTAGTAGAATTCTCCGATGATGATGATGATGATGTTTGTCGCATAACACCACTGTTGTCTATATCACATGTTGACCTTATCGCTATTATTAGTTTTGGATTGATGTTTACTGCATTATTCTTCAGACAACCTATGAAAATTTCCGATACAGAGCCGACAACAGGCCCAACGTCTATAACCGAGGTTGCATCGCCAACTTCTTAGAAGTTTTCTGCACCAAGATAAAACCATCAAAAAACAATTTCCGCTCCTTTGTGCGCGAAGAAACCCCAAGACCCCTCGTCAGCCGGTCTAGAGAGCCAGAATCAGAGACGACCAGTGAGCCACGATCCAAAGTCGAAGACGATCTTGAGATTGGCGGAGAGTTATTGAAGATATCTCGTCGCCGCACCTCAGGAGAAGTTGCTGATGAGGAGTTCGACAGGAGAAACAGTAACAGCGTGCACAGTGTTATATCGGAGTCAGAACTTGTTTTGTCACAGAGAGCTGAAGTACGGAACTCGAGCTGGGGGAGGAGAAGTGGGAGCTGGGAAATGTCATCGGATATCCTTCCGGTGACCTCTCCAGTCACCGGAGCTCCGGTGGCATCTCTAAGAGAAGGGGATCCCTGAAAAGTTTGGAGGGGTTCTCTCTTAGCGCTGTTCTTGTTATACATGTATGTAATTGTTTCAATTTGGGGTAAAAGGATTTGAAATTTCAGGAAGCTGTGGCTACCTTATGTAGTTTTTTGGTTTTTTAGCGTTGAGACTGGAATTTGGTGACAAGTTGATTCTTTTCTGTAATATATACTGATGTTGAATCTCCTGATATGTAACCTTCTGATCTATTTTCTTGCTCCTAAACTGTCTTCAGTAAATTAGTTGGGGTGCAGAGGCTATTTTATTATATTTGTAGCGAGGAAGGTCAGAACTCCTTGAGTATTTGGTAATTTCTTGGTTATGTAGTAGCTTTTTCCCATGTCATATCTATCATGAAAGCTCAAGAATCATCTTTTTCTGGAGAATAGTACACTTTACAGCAATACACGGAAACTTCTTTTGCTAAAGTCATTTTCATGTTGGGCCACATTTATTTGATACAATGCTTCCCTCTTCTTCACGTACTTTAATTAGTAAGGGTCCGGCCGGATTCTCTTTAATGTTGATTTATTGTGGACGATGCCTACAATCGTCGGTTGGGTGGGATAATATTATTGACTTGATAATTAATATCATTTATGGGGTTTATAATTAATATCATTTATGTGGAAGTTCCTACGGATGTTTGATAGCTATGTGCTGAATGCATTGTCTAGTTAGCCCACGAGTGGAGTGGTGCAAAAATTTATGAATTGGTTAGCCCACGAGTGAAGTGGTGCAAAAGCTTAGTGAATTTTGTTAACAGTATTAGTTTGTTCAATTACTGACACAAACTGCGCGCGATGTTTAATTACAGGCGGAGTACGGGTTAAAGATGAAATCAATCTTGGCCTTCTTCTTCGCGACTACAACCCCATTCGGCATTGCGCTTGGAATAGCACTGACGAACGTGTACAGCGACAGCAGCCCGACAGCCCTCATCGTCGAGGGATTGCTAAACGCGTGCTCGGCTGGGCTGCTGAATTACATGGCGCTTGTTGATCTCTTAGCTGCAGATTTCATGGGTCCTAAACTTCAGAGCAGCATCGGGCTCCAGTTGTGGTCGTTTGCGGCAGTGCTCTTTGGCGCTGGAGGCATGTCTCTCATGGCTAAATGGGCCTAATATAAGCTAGTTAATTGAATTGTTAGGTGTATCTAGACACTGCTAAAAAACGGAGTATGCTAGACAGAAAATTCCGTCTAGGAAAGTCAATCATGATTATGATTTGTTTAGATCATGAATAGATCGAGAGATTAACATTTTTTTTCTATTTTTTGGCTAGTAAATGTAGTTTAGATTGGGATTTTTTAACTGTTAAGTGTAGCTGTGATGCAGGGATAAATTCACTTCATACTCAATCATGATTGATTTTATCATTTAGGGGTTGATTATGAATTGTTTTGAATATAGACCAGAAATAAAAGACGTCTATGATAGGTAATTTTCTACTAGTGCATAGATGTCAAGTTATTTAGGTATTTCCACAATGCACGAATTAATTTTTAAAACGTGGTCAGAGATTTTTTGTTCTGCTGGCGTTTTCTAAAAACTAAAGACAGATCTCCACTAAAATTTGACATAATTTGTTCATGTCTAAAACTATGAATATTTGTCAAATTAATTGATAAAGAAGTGACTCCATATCCGAATTAACTATAATCTGCTGTGGATTTCAGATACGAGAAAAAAATTAGCTGGAATAAGAGGAGGGGGGGAAGTAAGATTATTATTCTTAAACGATCCAAAATTTTAACCCTACGGTTAAAAATTCCCACCCACCACCTTTACCACTCATTCCATTCACGCTCACGCCGCATTTTACCTTCCAACTTCTCCCCCCATCCGTACAGCACACTCCCGCGCGTGCCTCCTTCGGGAAAACACACGCCGTACTCAAAATGCCTAACCCACCCTTCAAACTCTGTAGACAAAAACAGTTTTGCTTGGAGAACTACGTAGAAAGGAGAAGAATTAAAATAAGAGGAAGGAAAAGTAAACACCCGAGTACACTGTATGGCTTTGAGTGAAACTGGAATCAACTACATTATTTGAGGGCTTAGGGTCCCTTTTATACAAATCAAAGTGCAACGGTTTCCTTGCTAATCTCTTGGCTACGTTGCTTTCTAAAGGGAATAGGTCAAACTAGTGACTAGATCAAATGCAGAAGTAAATACAAAAAAAAAAAATAACGTTTAACAAGATTAATCTAACAAACTCTACCTTATCCACCGCCTAATCACCACAAACTCAACGTAGATCAGTAGCAAATACAAGGGCAAATCAGTCCAAAGAACCATTTCAAAAATTATGCTCCCGATAATCTCGACAGTAACTCAGTCTCTATAAATCCTACTAACTAGATCCCTAATCACAACCCCTAACCGAACGATGTCCCCCAAAATATCCACCCTCATCACCACCACTCTCCTCCTCCTCGCCAAGTCCGAATGCGACACGTCGGCCCGCGGCCAATGCTTCAACAAACCCGAAGCCCTCCGGCTCAAACTCATCGCAATCGCCGGTATCTTGGTAGCAAGCATGATCGGCGTCTGCCTACCGCTATTCTCCCGCTCAGTGCCGGCCCTGAGGCCCGGCGCCAACATTTTCGTGCTCGTCAAGGCGTTCGCCTCCGGCGTGATTCTTGCTACGGGGTACATGCACGTGTTGCCCGACTCGTTCGATGATCTGCATTCGCCGTGCTTGCCTGAGAACCCCTGGAGGAAGTTCCCGTTCACGACTTTTGCCGCGATGCTCTCCGCGTTGGTCACGTTGATGATCGATTCGCTTATGATGGCGAGGTTCAATATAAGGCATAGCTGTGGACCTGCGTCGGCTGTGGATCACGAGAGTCAGAAGAGTAAAGAGAGAGTCGCGGCGAACGGAGGTGGTAAGGATTTGGCACAGGATCCGACGATCGCTAGGCATCGGATTGTAGCGCAGGTGAGCCAACATTTCTGATATTTTTGTTGTAATTTTGGAAGCTTTTTCATTTTCGATTTTTTTTTTTTTTTTTAATTTTGTGGATGAATTTTTTTAGGTTTTGGAAATGGGAATTGTGGTTCATTCTGTGGTGATTGGGTTGTCAATGGGGGCATCTCAGAGTCCTTGTACGATTAGGCCTTTGGTGGCTGCGCTTTGTTTTCATCAGCTCTTTGAAGGAATGGGTCTCGGTGGTTGCATCGTACAGGTAAGGCTATCTTTAATTTTAATTTCATCTACGTATTCTACTATGCAGTTATTTTTATAGCATGTACAGTTTGTTCAATCTTTTCAAGTTTAATAGGAAAGTTTTGAAATGGTTAGTACTGGCTACTCTTGATTAAAAGTATTTTGATCATATCCTCATTAATTACCATCTTGAAACCACAAGCTGATCATAATATAACTAACAGCAGAGACCTGGCATTAATAACTCACTTTAATGCTATACCGAGGTTAAATATAACGCGTGATTTTCTATGGACGTCATTCATAGCCAGCTTACTTATAGAAATCGTACTATATATACTCTAAATTATATGTTAACAGTATTAGTTTGTTCAATTACTGACACAAACTACGCGCGATGTTTAATTACAGGCGGAGTACGGGTTAAAGATGAAATCAATCTTGGCCTTCTTCTTCGCGACTACAACCCCATTCGGCATTGCGCTTGGAATAGCACTGACGAACGTGTACAGCGACAGCAGCCCGACAGCCCTCATCGTCGAGGGATTGCTAAACGCGTGCTCGGCTGGGCTGCTGAATTACATGGCGCTTGTTGATCTCTTAGCTGCAGATTTCATGGGTCCTAAACTTCAGAGCAGCATCGGGCTCCAGTTGTGGTCGTTTGCGGCAGTGCTCTTTGGCGCTGGAGGCATGTCTCTCATGGCTAAATGGGCCTAATATAAGCTAGTTAATTGAATTGTTAGGTGTATCTAGACACTGCTAAAAAACGGAGTATGCTAGACAGAAAATTCCGTCTAGGAAAGTCAATCATGATTATGATTTGTTTAGATCATGAATAGATCGAGAGATTAACATTTTTTTTCTATTTTTTGGCTAGTAAATGTAGTTTAGATTGGGATTTTTTAACGGTTAAGTGTAGCTGTGATGCAGGGATAAATTCACTTCATACTCAATCATGATTGATTTTATCATTTAGGGGTTGATTATGAATTGTTTTGAATATAGACCAGAAATAAAAGACGTCTATGATAGGTAATTTTCTACTTGTGCATAGATGTCAAGTTATTTAGGTATTTCCACAATGCACGAATTAATTTTTAAAACGTGGTCAGAGATTTTTTGTTCTGCTGGCGTTTTCTAAAAACTAAAGACAGATCTCCACTAAAATTTGACATAATTTGTTCATGTCTAAAACTATGAATATTTGTCAAATTAATTGATAAAGAAGTGACTCCATATCCGAATTAACTATAATCTGCTGTGGATTTCAGATACGAGAAAAAAATTAGCTGGAATAAGAGGAGGGGGGGAAGTAAGATTATTATTCTTAAACGATCCAAAATTTTAACCCTACGGTTAAAAATTCCCACCCACCACCTTTACCACTCATTCCATTCACGCTCACGTCGCATTTTACCTTCCAACTTCTCCCCCCATCCGTACAGCACACTCCCGCGCGTGCCTCCTTCGGGAAAACACACGCCGTACTCAAAATGCCTAACCCACCCTTCAAACTCTGTAGACAAAAACAGTTTTGCTTGGAGAACTACGTAGAAAGGAGAAGAATTAAAATAAGAGGAAGGAGAAGTAAACACCCGAGTACACTGTATGGCTTTGAGTGAAACTGGAATCAACTACATTATTTGAGGGCTTAGGGTCCCTTTTATACAAATCAAAGTGCAACGGTTTCCTTGCTAATCTCTTGGCTACGTTGCTTTCTAAAGAATAGCTCAGCTAGGCTGTGTTTGGCAACGGGTTAAATAAATGGATAAGGGGGTTTAACCCTCCATTAGCCTGCCAAACAGAAAATAAATCCCAAGGGTTAGTTAACCCTCACGTGAGCCCAAAACTCCATTTAACCCGTGAAATGAAGGGTTAACAATTCCTCGTAGATAGGCGGAACAAGGCTTGTTCCGCCTTCTCACGCAAGGGCAGGCGGTGGAATTTTGCCGATTTGGATCTTGGCAGCGGAATTAAGGGAGGCAACGATCTTTCAGTTACAGGGTTTGATTCGCAGCAAGCAATTTCTTCCCCAAATTTGTTCCCCTCTACTTAATTCTTTCCCTCCATTTTTTCCCTCTAAAAGTTTCCCCCTTCTTTTTCCCCAGCTGTTAATAGGAATATTTTAGGGGGAGCCAGAGAGGAATTTTCAACCGATTGGGATCTCTAGTGACGGGAGGCAAAGAAAAGAGAGGTAAGTAGATTTTGCAATATTGAATTGGTTTCCAAATCTTTGCCATGCAATCGATTATGTTCATATGAATCTCTTTGGTTGATGGATGTTTTTTGCTCTTATAAAAAGCATGCTGGAGGATGAAATTTATGGCTTTTATTGCTGTCTTTTCTTTGAGGGATTAGGCTTTATTGGTTGATGTAATCTAGAATATTTGATTACAATTTGATTACAGAAGTTATATATGTAAACAATATAAGTTATTTACAATTGCTACAATTTGAGATTGTGATGCTACAATTTGATGGACCAAAAGTCTGAACCATTTTATTACAATCTGGAACTACAAATGAGAGAGACAAGAAAGAGACTCCATTATTTACAATTCCAGATTGTGATGCTACAATTTCAGAAAATATCATTACGAACCATTTGATTAATTGTTTGTATACTAAAGAAGCTGGCAAAAAAAAAGTAAATTGAAACGTTCCTGAATTGGAGAATTTGGGTTGATTTCAAAATATTCTAGCTTCTTAGTTGCAGAGTTTGACCTCTTCTTCTTTGAAATTGATCTACTTGGTTCTCCTCTTTGCTTGATAGCTTTATGAAATATCTCATTATTTGCTCCTAGCTGATAATAATTGATTAATTTATTGTTCAATTGATTAACTTCTTTTAAAATTCTCACTAATGATCTAGAATGGCTAAGAAGAACTTCATAGCACAATCTTAACCCGAATTACATGCTGAAATGCTTTTGTTTCTTACGTGCTGAAATTTACAAAAGAATTTTAGCGTAGTAACTGAATATGTCAGAATGTAACTTAACATGCTGGAATGTTTTTGTTTCTTACATGCTGAAATTACATACATGCTTGTGTGCGTACATGCTGAAATGCTTTTGTTTCTTACATAATGCCCTATGAATTTACTGAAAGAGTGCATGGCTGTTCTTTCTTTCAGAGCATGATTTGAGATTTTCAGAAGGCTTACTCCATTGATTACTTGTGGTATCTTATTGGTAGGTTAGTAATTGAAAATGAATTCTCCGAATAGTGACTTTCTTATTGTCAGACAATTAAATTTTGATTTTCCTGTTTCAAAGATACTATTACCTGCAGGATGTTTGCGTGCGTACATGTTTGGGGTATGCAGCTATTTCTTAGAGGCTGGAATTAGAGAGCCTGAAAAAAATGGAAAATTCACTTGAAGTTGCAATGGAAAAATATGTGTAGATTTGAGAGAGCATTTGAGGATATTGTATGGGTTGGTAAATTAATTGTGTTTATGATGCCTCAATGAAAATTGACTTTCCAGATCATGTGTTTTTAAAATGCCACAATGAAACAGAGGTTATGCCTGCATGGGGGACTTCAGTGCAGTATTGGTTATATTTGCCAGACTATCTATTACATCCTTATGCTTGTGTCTGGCTGATGTTAGCTATGTTGTTGTCTTGGTTCTATATGCCCAGTACAAGCATGTCAATATTTTTCCAGTCCTAATGATTTGTTTGCAGCTTGTCAATATCATGTAGTTATGTTTGTATATATGGGAAATGGCTGTAAAAGTATAGATGAATGTGTTTTCAATATTAAAGTCTGCATTCATCTTCGAAGCTAAGGGCTAATGACATTATACTGCATGGTAGCAACAAATTGTGGACATTATACTGCATGGTCTGCGTTCATCTAATGTGCTTAAATTCCTTATCCTGTCAAATGTAGAAAAAATCTTAGATTTCCAAGCAAGTTTATGAATAACACCTGCATTTGAATTGATTCATTAAAGATATGTTATGCTATGCTTCACCTAATTAGAGAATACTGACTACTTGTTAATTTCATGAATTTCGTGCATTCAAGACAAGAGTGCTTGCTGCTATGCATTTTGTTAATTACTCTTCCACATGGTTATGAGTAACACCTGCTATGCATTTTGTTAATTACTCTTCCATATAGTTTTGTTTATGCTTCTGGGGAAGGGACTAAATATGTGATGCTGTGAGATAGACAAATGTTAATGCCTACATTTAGTTAACCATTCATAGGGGAGTCTCAACCTTTTTGGAGTCTATTTGGACTAGGATATTTTTTGTTAAAGATATGATTTGATAAACAGCCAAGTGAAATTTAATGGTCCCTAAAAATGATGTCAGGTTCATACTTTTGAGCTTGTTTAGCTCTCGATTGTTGGTCTGGAGTTAAGTTGTGAGCCCCAAGGACGAAGTAAGATGCACGAGTTCCAAATCTTCGATTCTCTTCCGGCGTAGTTCAGTTGCTGGTTCGGTTTCTCAATGGCGAAGCGAGTTTATGAGGTTTGGAAAGGGAGCAATGTAAGCTTCTGAGGCTTTATTCTACCATTTTTGGGGGTTTTAGTGCAATTTAGCATCTGGGTATGTGTTAATTGTTTAGGATTTGAGCTGGGTAGCGTTTAATTTGATGTTTTTTTTTTTTTTTGGATTTTAGCATCTGGGTATGTTTGCTCTATGAATACTTGATGGAATTTAGTGTTTGATGCGATTGAGGAGTTGTGGATTCATGGTAGTTTAGTGCTATGTGTTTTTTGATGGAATTTAGTGTTTGATGCGATTGAGGAGTTGTGGATTCATGGTAGTTTAGTGCTATGTGTTTTCTTTGGTTTGATTGTGTGAAGTTCAATTCTATGATAGAAGAGATTGTGAGCGGAATGAGATATTCGGCAAGTACACAAACTTTGGTTACTAGATGTTAATGCATTCATTTTAATGAAATAGGAATTCTTAGATGTTATAGTCCATTCAAATGCTGAACACGTACTTTATGCATTCATTTTAATGAAATAGGAATTCTTAGATGTTATAGTCCATTCAAATGCTGAACACGTACTTTGGTAGTCACTTAGTGTTTTTAAGAGAAAGGATGGGGTCTCAAACTCAAAAACCTGAGCCTGTTTATTTATTCATCAAACAGTTGGTAGTTACTTAGTTGTATCGGTAAGGAAAATGAGTGGCAGATTAGAGATGGATGTAGCTGAAAACGCAAGGGTTGTATGTTAAGAGTGAATCTGTCTGCGTTTGGGATTATGATTCCTTATGCCCGTCAGTATCTTGCAGGCTTGTTTATTGATTTGAGTTGCATATTTTGGAAAATGGTTCCAAGAGCATTTAGTATATACCATATACTTATACCTCAAAACTAATAGCGTGTAAGTTGTAAGTCATAATTTTAGCTCATGCTGGATTTTATTAAAATGTATTATTTCCTTTCTCTTTAATGCTTATGTATTGCGTCACACACGTGGCTGCGTGTATGTGTGTATGGACTGTAGAGTGAGAGAGCTAACTCTTTCTTCTCGTTGCAGGTATTTTTCTTTAGCGGGAGGTTGATATTTGGACCTGATGCACAGTCGTTGCTCATCACAATTTCACTCATAGTGGTTCCCATTGTAATTTTTTGTATATTTGTTGCAAGACATCTTCTTCATAAATTTCCTGCGTATGATGCTGGATATGCAGTAATGGTGGTTGCCATAGCATTTACTATCTATGTTAGTCTTCTAAACTTCTCATGCTTTTTGTAGAGAACTAATGAATCTTTTTAGATTGAACAGAATTCTAATAGGTATTATATGCTAGTGTTGATATTCAAATTTGATCTAAATTGTTTTTTAGATTGCAGCCTTAGGTGATTATCTAAGTGCATAAGCATGTATTGCTTATGCATTTCTATCCTTAAGTTCTTAATACTATTTATTATATAATTAACCTCGGTATCTGTCCTGAACAAGATGTT